GACCCCAGAGAAATATAAACATCAGCTCTGACAGACTTGACGGGATAGACACAGCAGAGACCAGGGGCGGACTGGCCATCTGTGTGTTCTGGAGAATCACAGAACGGCCGGTCGCCGCCCTTTATTTTGTTTTTAAACGGCATCATTTAAGTTGCGCTGACAGGCGACAGAGGTCCGTTCAGCGGGCCGTTCCCGTTGACAGTTCACGAGCACCCCCCCTCCCCGTTGACAGTTCACGAGCGTGCTCTACCAATTTGTGTGGGCTGGGCTGGCTGAGATTCCAGGGCTGATTTTTAGTCCCAGTCCGCCCCTGGCAGAGACAATCTGCCTGGCCTCAAGCGATGAACAAACATGACAGGAAATTACCCAGGTAAAGATAATCAAACACCGTAAAAGATGATACACAGATAGAGGCAGTGATTGTACCTGCCACAACGCCAGAAGCGATGGTAGCCAGGAGAGGAGTCTTGGTGCGCTCGTTGATCCTGGATAGAATACGGAACAGCAGGCCGTCCTCCGCCATGGCGTAGATAACACGGGGCATCGGGAACATGGAGCCTAGCAGACTGGGGAAATAGAAAGCATTAAACTTCAGCTTTAACAGTGTTGTGCAAAACTAAATAAATACAATGTTGTGTTATGTCATGTTTTTAATACAATGCTAACAATGACTAGGAAAGCTGCAGTAATTAAACTGATGCACTTATTTTAGTTATTTATAAATGCTTATTTACAAATCTCGAAGATGGCCGTTTTCTCCTTAAAAGAAAATTGATCTTGACTGACTTTTTATGACTCTTCTTACTATACTCAGCCTTTGTATATGCTTTTTGTGGCCTACGTAGTATCGCTTTTTTGATGATATATTAAGGAGATACAATACTAGGACTGTACCTTTGACAACAGAAGGCTAAGATCACAGTGTGGCCCCTCACCTGGTGGACAGAGCGCAGAGGGAGCCCACAGCCACGATGTATCTGGCGGGGGACCAGCCCACGTAGCTGAAGGCCTCGGGCAGGGGGCTCTGCCTGTTCAGCTCATAGTACGGCATCATGAGCGTGAGAGCGGCGGACACACCGAAGTAAGCGAAGAAACAGATCAGCAGCGAGGCCACGATGCCGACAGGGATGGAGCGCATCGGGTTCTTTGCCTCTTCGCCTGAAGACAGGGGGAGATTTGAAAAAAAGAGGATAAGATGAGGAAAAGTGTTTGCATGAAAAAAGAAGCGAAGGCAATATATCGTAAGGGTGAGATTTTGCTCTTCAGAAATCAGAGTAGGTTTTCACATACAAGGGATTTGTCTTGGTGTATATGGTGCGCACATAAACAAAGTTAAAGACAGTAAGACAAATTAACCAAACAATTATAAAAAACAATAACACTTTTATAACATTAAAATATAGCACAACATATTTGAAAGGATATATAGATATTCACAAAAAAACTACAAACAGTATACTGACAAAATGCTCAGAATAATAAAACAAAATATGTGCAGTATGTTTAGAACAAGTGGAAAGCTGAGCAGATATAAAGAGAGGTAGCTTGAATACATATGTGCAAAGTATTCAGAGGGTGATCTTGCATTATTACCGGTATGCTTTATATTTTTATATCAGTGGAATAAATTGGTCATGAAACTGCAATATTTTGTATTGCAATTATTCTCGGACTATACCTGGTTCAGAAAAATCTAAACTCACTACCATCAGCAGTTCCACTTCAGGTCTGTGTGACCATAGGGGAAGTAAGTCAACAAGTTCCCATGATTAGAATCTGTTCATACTAAACACGAAATCATGGGAACAACTTTCAATACCAAGTAAGCATTTGTATATCTGTTTATGAAGCCATTTTGGTGAGGCTGCTTCTCTACATGGGCTTTTATGGAAATATGAAAGACACTTACTAGTTGTTGCGATGCAGTCGAAGCCCACAAAGGCGTAGAAGCAGGTGGCGGCACCAGACAGGACTCCAGTCAGGCCGAACGGAGCAAAGCCGCCTACGCCAAACTCCTCATCAACTCTGAGTCACAGAAGAAGAGAGACACAAAGTTTAGCTATCAGAAACATGTGGAACTGTAAAAAACAAACATTCACTGGCTGATTGAAATACTGACTTGAGAGTTTTAGTGCTGTTGGAGCTGTTTATGTAGCTGACGTAGTCTTCCTCCGTCAGGTTCCAGTTGGCCGAGTCCCCCTTCACAAAGCCGGAGATGATAACGAAGCCCAGGACCACCAGATTGACGCCCGTGAAGATCTTATTCACCAAAGCAGACTCGTTCACACCGAAGGCCAGAAGTCCTGAGGGCAGGAATAGAAGAGAGGGATGTAACAGAGACAAGGAACTTTCACATCGCAGCACCACTAACAACATGTCCTGCTATGTGGGTGGAGGTGTGGAAGCTTCATAACGTCAAACTCACCATCAGTCAGCAACACCACCACACCAATGAGTTCTACTGCCATGCAAGACTAGTGGCAATATTAGTGTGACCGGTCTGTTCTGGCTGTTATGTCATGTTTTTAATACAATACTAATAAAGACTAACTGCAGTAATTAAAGTGACTTCTTTATTTGAAAAGATAGTAATTTTTTTTAATTCTCGCAGACTTGTAAGCCCAACCGAAGATCGATGTTTCCTCCTTAGGTTGATTTATTGAAAAATGGAACAGCTCTTTAAAACAATGTGACTGTCAATAAAAGAGTCATAAAAAAAGTCATACTATGCGATTACTTTTTATGACATACCATGAATTTTTACTTTTTTTGATGGCATACTATATTATGCTATGACTTTTGTGGCCTACATAGTATCACTTTTCGGATGATATTCTTAATGCCCTAATATATTATATAAGACAATCATCATGCACTTTCTCATATTTATCCCATTCCCCCCAGAGGAGATCCAGGTTGGGAACCACTGAGAGTCAGATGATGATGATGATGATGATGATGGGGTAACTCACCAGAGAGCAGCAGGACCAGGATGAGGGCGAACAGGTCCGGGTATTCAGCCAGCACATTTCCTGGCACCTTCATTGTCATTGAAGCTTTAAAGAAGCCAGAGATCTTTTGCTCAACCAAGCTATCGAATGTTGAGCTCCACGCCCTGGCCACACTGGCCGTACCTAAAAGAGAAGACAAAATGACTTGAATACCTCAACCACGCAGTGTCTGAAAGTGACTCATCCTATACGTTGTTCTCTACGTTATTAAAGGATACTTTTAAATGCATCAGGTTGCAGAACATGAATGTGCTGCAACAACTCCACTGAAAGAAAGCTCACCTATCACATAGGAGAGGATGAGGTTCCAGCCTGTGATGAAGGCCCAGATTTCTCCCACTGTCACGTAGCTGTAAAGGTACGCCGAGCCTGTTTTGGGGACACGGGCGCCGAACTCAGCGTAGCACAGGCCGGCCAACATGGAGGACAGAGCGGCGATGAGGAAGCAGAGGACGATGGCGGGTCCGGCCTTTTCTCGGGCGACCTCACCAGCGAGGACGTAGACCCCAGCGCCGAGGGTGGAGCCGACCCCCAGGGCGATGAGGTCGAGGGTGGACAGGCAGCGGGCGAATCGGGTCTCCTCCCCGGAGAAGTCCAACGCCCGGCGACGCAGTAAGACTTTGCCAAAGGTGGCCAGCTTGTGGGCCATATTTGCTGTGACTGTGGGGGGGGGGCTGGACCGGGCTGTGTGTTTTAAATTCTTCGAGTGTGGGTGTGTGTGATTGACACACCCCAAACAGAACACGTGCGACTGGTCTGTGGGTAGAAGTACTCGAGCAGATGGGTAGGTTAACCAAGTACTTGCTTATTATTGGTCCTTGAGAATAAGAATCAGAAACAGGTTTATTACCAGATAGGTTTACACGCACGTTACGTGGTGCATACAATAATTAATTGAATGTCGTTGTTGTGATTTATGAAGGAGTCCCTCAAGCACACGAAACAGGAAGTGGCAGATCAGCGGTTTCTGCGCTTCGCAGCAGCAGATTAGGCCCTGTAGAAAAAGATAAGAAGAAAACAAAATCTCAAAACAAGGAACTATTCAGATATTGCCAAAGCTTATATGCACACGGCCTTGTGTTTGACACCGTGTCCTAGGATTATAGCCACATTTTTTATCAGGAAAAGATTTCAAACTACAGGCAGGGATAAGAAAGTGAAGTAAACATAAATGTTTGTCACCTTGACACGGCCGGTCCCACAGGGGCTATACAAAACAAGTAACAATTTTGTAACAAGTTGGTTTTTGTAGGGATTAGTGAACTCAGGTAGCACCGGCGATGTTGGAGACTTTCCTATAATATTCCACTCCTCTAATAAAAAGGAGAGGGTCTGTCAGCAGCTTTGGTGAGGCAATGAAAAGAAACATTTCACTACACAGGAACCTGTATAAATAAATACCAGTTACGCAACTTCCAGGAATTCATACCTTCACCTTTTACCGCATACTGTAGTAACACATGATGAAACGCAGTAGGGCACAAAGACACCTCATGAAGACAAAAGTAAACCTACTGCTATCCACCACTCAACTCGGCCTCAACAAATAAACCGGCCACAGCACACACACCCATATGAAAACACAAGAGCACCTAGCGTAATTCCTCACCACTCCCTCACTGCGAGAAAGGACACACTGCTACTTTTGATATGTTTTTTCAGCAGAAAGAGGCTGATAGGGAGAAGCCTGGGAAAGCCAGGGCTGTGAAGAGATGATATGGTTGAATTTTGCAAGCTAATATCAACAAGGGAGAGGAGGACAGTGTGAACCAGCAGCTCGATAAGATGAACCAGCTGCCCTGCCACAAGGTTGATATAATAAAGACACACTCAGGGTACTGAACCGTACCCTGAGTTCAGTAACACGGTACTCGAGTAACAATTTCAATTTTACCCTTGAAATCAAATTAGTACTGTTGTGCTTTAATGACTTTATATAACAGAAAAACCTCTTATAGTTAAGTTTATTAATACCTGTCCAAGACGTAAGAAATGTTAAGTTAATAAACACCTGCTATATGATTTAAGCTTCTTGGAAAATAGTCGTACTACACAAAAAATAGACTGACTTAAGAAATCTTATTCGGCTAAGACCAAACCGTGGAACTGGTCGACAAATCCATCCACAAAGAGGGAGCAGCTCACTTTTATTTGAACCAAACTGTGTTCAACAAGTCACTCCGGTGTGATGAACCATACTGATCCTTTTTGAAACACAGAGCACAATAATATTGCTGCATTATCAATCATTTAAAAAAACAAAAACATCCTCAAGGACAAGGGCATCACACTCTACGTCAGGAGTAATGATTTGTTCAAGTTTAGGGACGGTTGAATGATAATGATTACAGATTCTGCAAAACACACCATGCACACACACAGACCCACACAAAATGCAATGCGGGTCAAGGACACTGCGTACAGCTCATCTGACCAGGAAAGATACAACGTTTTCTGTTTGTCTGAGGAGGTGACAATAAGACTGGTTTGACGTAAATCACCATCGACAAAACACACCCTGCAGAAGTATGTTACAGACCAGTTCCAGGAACCTACTAGTCACGAGGTTGCCACATTTCTTAATGCCGTTTAAGATGTTTTGGTTTTGTAGAGGTTGTTGCATGACATTTTTTCCCCTCAAATCGTAGTGCTTGAACAGGTTCATCTGTGTTTCTCTACGAAGATGAGATGTTTAATGACGATTTTACACGCAGCTGCTCCTGCTGAGAGACTCAATAAACAAATGTCAAAATATATTAGATGATATACTTCTCTATGTACTGTAATCCTAGAAAGCAGGACCAAAGACCCACCATGCTGTCAGTTTTTGATTTCACCGTCACTAAATAAAGTGGACTTGATGACTTTTGGACTTTCAGATGTCCATGAAGAGCCACAGTTCAATGTTGTGAACAAAGCTTCACACATCAAGTGTGTGTGAATGAGTGTGTGTGAATGTCTGTCACTAACAATCCAATATTTGCCTTCATTAAAACGTGTCATCGCTTCAAGTTTATTTGGCCAGCAGAGTTGACTTCCCATTTTCTTATTAGTATTAGAGGTCATTCCAGTTTTTTTATTTGGTAAAAGCAAATAAAGCACACTTGCACATACAAGTCTTGACAAAGTGTCTCTTAAGTCTAGGGCAGGGCCAAGTTTATCTTATCTGCAAATACTACACTTCTTTTACAACTACTACAACTACCACTGTCTGACATGACTTTTTTTTAAATTGCCAATGACAATTGATCAGTAAAAAACTTCTACAGTCCTGAAATGGGTACCGTCCAAAAGGATCAGCAGTGAAGCCATAAAAAGGCTGAATTCAGCTCTCAGGGATTAAGGACATACCCGATTAATCTTTTGATTCGGAGCAATTTACAAAAGAAAAAGTAGATGCTTCATTACCCTTTGAGACATTAGAGCACCAGCACCTTGAATTCAAGTAGACTTTGAAGGTAGGAGGTGGAGCAAAGTCAACGGCAACGCTGCACCCAGTCTGAAGCTATTAATGCTGACACCTGATTCCTGGTGTTAGTGCTGAGAAGGCGCACGGACATTTTAGGCTCATCAGTCACTTCACCAGTCAGGCAACAAAGAGGAGAAGTGAAACTCTAACCCCGCAACAAAACCAGACCGTTATGTAGCACAGTGTGAGCGTGGCTGTCTACCTGGATCACAGGTCAGGCAGAAAAAGCCTTTTCACATGTATTAACAGTGTGAAAATAAAGATGGTGGGGCAAAGAGTGCAGAGAGATTTATACATAGTATATTTTTTGGTTGTGCTGTCGAGGTTTTTTCGGTTCTATTGTCCAATTAAAACTAATTTAAAAAGCACTGGTCCTAGCAGAACACATACTCATTGAAGAACATAACGCAACATGAGGCTAGAGCCGGTTTTTTTTTTGTTCCAACTTTATGTGGAAAATAAAATGTCCTCCCTACTCAGCTCCGGTGGAAAGAGGGAGCATGACTCAGGTGTGAGAAACGAGAATGTGTATCAGATATTTCAGGGTTTAAGAATTAATGGATAAAAATGGCAGCCAAAAAGTGTCATGAAAAATTATGCTAATTGATCAAAGATAAATCAAATATTTGATCGATCATAACTCAACATGCGTAGCTGTGGTCGGACAATGTCTAGGTTTTTCTAACCAGCTTGTATTTCTGAGGAATCCCAACGAAATGCAAAATAGGCCAAGCGCTACCCACAACCACGCAAAGTTAGTTCTCGATTTCTGTTCTTTTGGGTCACACAGTAGATTAGATCATTTCAAAAAGGAAGGAGAATACAGTATTTCGGCTGTACATTATGTTATGGTCTAATTTTGGCCTTTTCTTTCTCATAGCACACAGGATCAAAGCTCTCACAATGTCTCAGTACAATGACAGTATTCTATTAATATCATAAAAACAACATCACCTATTTATCAAAGCTCTTTTAGTCTAACCGTTTCAAAAGAGAATATCCTGCTCAGTACAGTTAACGTGAAGAAAAAAGACCTACTCTGTCAAACAATGAAATACAAACAACACAGAGAGCACCCAACAATAAACACTCAGCCCTCTGAGGACTGATGGGAAACTGGTACATGGAGGATATTCTCCCACTCCCCACTTGGTGTGACATTCCAGTAGCCTTTTCCACACACACACACACACACACACACACACACACACACACACACACACACACACACACACACACACACACACACACACACACACACACACACACACACACCAGGATCTGAGGTCTGACAATGTCAATGTTGAGTCAATAAACATTTATTACTTGAGAACTGTGCCCGGCCGGCTGTGATCTCCTCGGGGGTTCAAACCAACACCTTCGCTAAGCAGAAGAAAAAAACCCTTTGATAAAACTGTGCAAACTGGAAAGTTGTATCAAGCAACTAGGCTTAGGAGCAATTCAAGTTTGAAAGTATACTTAAAAGGAAAAAAACTCAATAATTTTTACTGTCTAGGAAATGTCATTTTTTCCTTCCCACATAATTGTTTCTTTCTCTGAGCCTTCAGACACCCAACAGTTAGAAATGCACCGAGCTGCTTGATGTATGACCCCAGGCGGGTCACCTACTGTAACTGCTAATCTTTTCCTTGTGGTTTTCACGAGGGTCCCCGTTTGTGTAAGTGGGGCAGATTTACTCTATGCCAAGTTGCACGGAGGTGTGTCCCTGTAGGTGCGTGTGTAAGCTCCGCTACGTAACAACCCACACACCCACATGAAAAGACCAGGTTCTTCCTGCAGCCATTTTATGATCTTCATCTCAAATGAATACACATGACTTTAGCAGATTTTAAGTGTTGACGAGTTGATTAATGCCTTGTTGTTTCGTTGTATTTACTTTCTTGAGAGTCAACCTAACCAGAGTAAATTCAAGTTTCTTTTTAAAGAGGCAATATAAAAGCTATTTGTGTTGTAGGACTAACAGTGTTTCCATTACAGCGGGATTCTGGGAAAATGGGCCTGTTACTAGACTTAGCATTGCTGCAACTGCCGGCACAAACTCTAAGAGGATTATTCAGAGAAGAAACAAACCGCCTAACCTCCTTATAGCCTGTTGCTGCTACTCCTACTATCGACACCAACAACGCATGGCATTGTTTTGACTGCCGCCTTCGACCACAACAACAGAGCTCTATGGTTATATAACCGAACAAGCAATATTATTTATACTATATTAAGGTAGAATTGTTCAATATCTAATTATCCATTGCAAAATCCACTCCCACGTTGAAAAAACAAAACATGAAGCTAAATTAATTTAAGATTCTGCCCCTCACAATCCTTATATTATTCAAAAGATTGCAATAAATGTTGTTTGTTTTTAAATTATAAGCAGTTTGAGCTTTTTTCATCAAATGTAAAAATGTAAATCTGATTTTGACTGACCATATTTCCACCTGCTAATGCAGACATTGTAATATTTTTCTTTATTTATATACATACTTCTCAAAATGTGCATGGGATATAGTCCTAAAGCAGGGGTGTGAAACTCAAGGCCCAGGGGCCAAATCCGGCCCGCGACTTCATTTTATGTGGCCCCATAAGAGCTTGCAAAGAATATAATATATGATTAACTTACATGCTACTTTACAGAAGCACGTTGCCCATAAAATGCATGTCCCACAATGCATCTCAAATTTGACTTTTTCTCAGAATTTGACTTTTTTTCTTCAACATATGTATTTTTTCTCAGAATTTGACTTTTTATCTTCAAAATGTCTTTTTTTCTTAGAATTTGCCTTTTTCTCATAAATAGATTTGTCTTTCACTTCTTTTTTTCAAAATGTCAAAATGGTTTTTTTAAAATGTCACTTCTTTTTTTTCAGAATTTGGCTTTTCTTTTTAAATCATATTGTGACATTCTTTCCGAAGAGACTTGCAATTATTTTCCCTAGACTTCTGCTTTCAGACGTAGTTAATTATGAAGTTATTACCCTATCCGATAATAATCCAATGCAGAGGCAATAATGTAATACAATACATTATTTTATATATATTAAATATTTATATATGTATTTTTATATAGTCTTAAAGTTACAACCGGCGCTTTGACCATAATGCTGATGTGGCCCTTGATGAAATTGAGTTCACCCCTGTCCTAAAGCCTACATTTAATGAACATCCTGTACTAGTCTATCCCTTTTCCGTAATACAAATAATAGTCCTACTGACACCATTGTTGTACCGTTATTTTTTGTGCCAGCAGATGAACAAAGGGAACACCATGTTCAGTTCTCTGCAGGGCTAACATCCAACGGGCCTATGTGACCTTGCGTAACCCTGGAAGAGACACCGTATCACGACTGGCTGGACAGAGTCGGCGAACCATTCTTCGAGAATCACACAGAGAAACAATGGTTTTCCAGGTGTTTGAAGTTATAAACAGTACTTCTTTTGAGCCAGAAATGTATGTTTGTATGTATAAGATTCACGTTAGCTTCGCATAAAGGCTGTGTTTGTGGTTGAACTAAAGTATGTGGGAAGAGACCGACCGCTGAGATTGAACTGAACGACCCTTTAAGTCACCTGGCCGAAAACCAGTGGTCCTGCCAAAAACTGCTCTGTGCTGCGAGATGGAATGTGACAATGTAAGGATCTGTTCACTTTCCCATGGTCAAAGCCAAAACCATTAAGTACAAATCTACACATTATGAGAACGGATAACCAATCAGCCTGACACGTACGTGTTCACTCAAAGTAATTATTATGCTCTGATTAATTAGAAACTAGAATGCAACATTTCCCAGCTTCTACTAGCAATCTATTCACAGGAAAAAATAAAAATAACTCTTATACATGCATTTAACCAAATATGCCTATTGGTCATCATGTCGGAATGTTGACTTAATGCTTGATGCCTAAATGTACCCTGACCCGGATACTGAGGTGTAGGTTGGTGAGGAGCTGGTGCAAACAATTTCTGGTAAACTTTACTTTGACCATTGCACTAGAGATAACGAGGAATGTTGGGCAATCCAAATAACTTATCCCAAGATGTCAATATGGTTATGACCGAATAAGGACTTGGTAGCTGATGCAATAATGTACCGAGAACCCATTACTTGCAGCATTGTCATAACAAACGTACATATTAAGCAGTTATAAAATAGACCCACAATTCATGGTTTATTTTCACTCAGATAGATATGTCTAATATTTAGACTAACTCCAGTGATGTAAATGTACCTCTCAGTTTAGAGCAATATAATTCAACAACTGTATAATGGCCATGTAATCGGCTCACCACCTCCAACACACTTTGAACAGGGTTTAATTGGACTTAATGATGCTATGTTTACCTTCAGGAGGACAAATAGAAACACTATGACATGTTGCAACATGTGAACTCCATTGAATATTTTGGGCTCTCACTTGAGAATAATAAAGAAATTACACATTTATAGCAACAGCAAAGACAGGCAATTACTACATCTGGCAAATTCACTATTTGGATTAGCGTTTGGGGGTTGTCTTTAGCTGTACTGAGCTGTTAAAACTGTATTGATTAAGCCTCGATTTTAAGAAAGCATAGTGGCTCTAAGGTTAGTCTAACATCCTCCATCAAACCACCTGACCACAGCCAGAGAGGTTTGTATCAAATTACACCTCCATACAATACTCTTGTGTTCACCACCACAATGATTTAACTACATTTTAATTACTGGGGTGTCTTTAAATCGGCTGATGCAACGCAAGCATGGTAACACCCTGGATGCAGACAACGTGGTACTGAGCAATAAATAAATCGTAAATATAATTATTGTTACTTCAACTCGTGATTGTTGAGCACCAATGCATTAATTTGCACTTAAAAAACTTTACTTACGGACAGAGTTAATTATAGTGGACGATGTTCAGCTGTCCATCTGTCAGAGACTGAAACACAAGCTAGCTACGTGGCTCCGGTTTTAGCGTGCTGCAAATGTTGCCTTCAAAGATCAGAGGGACATCCTCACTAGCCTTTGTACGTGTGTACAATTGTATCGGAGCATATTGGTAGTTACATTAGATTTACATTAGATGTAACGGTGATTTGTTAATATTGTGTTAAAGTTCAGAGGAAACTATTGTACCTGGGACTGTTTTACGAAAGGATATTGTATTGGATGTATGGAATTCGAGGATTTGTGCGAGTCTTTGAACGTAGCTGCTCATCCCACGCCTCGGTCGCACTGCTGGACTCTCCGGCCAAAACAATGAATGAAAACACCGAGTGGAAACACGAAAACGTTTCGAGTCCTGTTCTTAGTTTTTAATGTAAAAATACAACAACAAAAAACCCGACCGCGGATCCTTAACAGGAAATACCCAATAGTTTACTCCGTTGTAATTTCCCGTTTACGCTTCTGACTCAACAGCTGCCCACTTAAATGACACATACTTTGAATAAAACTGAACATTTGTGTTTAACGCTCAGTTATAAACCTATTGTTGTATTCTTCAACATAACGAACAGAGGAGAAGAAGCACGTTGTGAGCTTTGTAAACATTAGAGCGCCAATACAACTGACGGAGGATTGCATCAGTCCACTATGATGTACATTTAACAACAATGGCGGTCGTTACAAGACAACTCGGCTTGATAATACAATGTTTCATTTAACATTTATATGACGAAGGGTATTACCTTTAATATCTTCTGGCTGTTGGTGTTTAAAGACGCTGTTTCCGTGGTCGCTGATGAAATATCCCGCTCGGCTGAGGGTGTGTAGTTTTGATCCTACGGGAGGGGCGGGGTGTACACACACTGACGCAAATTAGAAAAGGGGCGGGGCTTTAGTTTCATGAATTAAAACGATTAAAACCTTAAAACACAGACGCAATGTTTACTCTGACATTTTAGGATAACAGCGCTGCTCTGGTCAATGTGTAGAGAGCAGATCATACAAACTAAGAAAAGAGGAAAAGTAACAAGAGGGCGGCTGTTTAAGATACAGAAAATGAGCATGGAGAGAGTGAGCGTGCTACCCCGTAGTAGAAAGCCCATATATGGAAACCCCCCTCTGTGAGCCGCTATGTTTAGGCCGGCGACACTCCACGCTATATCCGCTCGCTTTGTTCCACAGATTTTTTTTTAAAAAGGAGGGAAAACCAAACTATTTCTTTCATGTCATTTTGTCCTCAGTGACCTGGGAGAGCATGAGGGTCAGTGGGGTTGATAAAACTGTCATTTTTAGATATTTTGTGTCACACACTGACTGCAGCATCCTCATCCTGGCCTGTGTATGATGGAATTCGGTGACATCATGCATGTAAATGAGGGGTCCCCAAAATGCATTTAATTGACCATGCAGGCTGATGCAACAGCAACACTATGTGGCATCATTAAATAATAATGTCAACGAAAAGGTCAAGACTTTCTCTTTTTTGCTTTTACATATGCTGAAAAAAAATTGGTAAAACATAACTTACAGCTGGGTTTTAAAGTATTATGACCTTATTTAGTGTGGAGTTACACATGTTACAGTTGCATAATAAACTTAATAGGTGTTTTTACTTTTAAAAACTCTTAACATACATATTTTGCCTTTTTCTTCTCCTTCAGAAACTTTAAGGTTGTCAGAAATAATTTTGTTCCCCACTGTCTGACTATAACATATTATGATATTCTGTATGCATGTTGACGCAAAACGTTGTTAAACGCTGCCATCAGTCATATAGGAACTAGGTTCATATTCAATTCTATTTATTTTTTACAATATGTCTTAATTAGTCACTTTTGTTCACATTTTATATTTGTACGTAGAGCAAAAGTTTGTTCACCAAGGTCACATAAACTGAGTTTAAATCTTTTTGAAATATGTGTTTGTCAGAGACATTTTGACCTCTTCTACAAAACATAGTGTGAATTAAGATATACATCATAATATGGTGCTCTCGCACTGCATATCCCTTAATACATTTCCAATACATAAAATCACCACAAAGCAACTGACACACAATAAAATGGGCCTTTGGGGCAACTGTTTATCTCGGACCCCTGGTCAGATGCCCTCTCTATCCGGATTTAGTGCAGCCATGCGACGGGAACACATCATTCCTACTGCCACTCAGAGATTAATTTTAATTTACACCGCTGACTTCTTCTTGATTTAAAGTCACTGTAGTTAATCTTTCTAATAACGTTTGTACTGACAAGTAAAAACAAAAAAGATAAATGTGGGGCCACTGCACAAGAAGAAGGTTCAGATTTATTTTTCTGTTCCTGGGAAAGGGTGCATTGTTTTTCATGCATTGAACAAGAACCAGATGTAACTTTAAAAAAAAAAAAAGGATTTGTGAATTTTATTTTCTCCCTCTCCTCCCATCACTTTTTGTCTGATGGTGCGTTAGTAGCCTCGTCTCACCTTTTGTACTTGCCAAGTCACACTGCTTTGGGTTGCTCTTTCAATTTACTTCCACTTTATCAATCTAACCCAACTGGGTGTCTCTGCAAACACAACAAGTGTCATGGCTGCACACTGGGCTCCAGTGTTAGAAGCGCTAACAAAAACACGTCCTAATCTTTGCCTTGGCCTTCTCTGCCCATCCTGTCTGCCACGGTCATTACTCTGGACAAGGCCAGCACATCAAAGCTCACCAGTTTGTAGGTCACAGTTCTCCCTGATGAGAAAGCTCAGGAGCAGTGTGTGTATCCCAGGAAACATTTCTAATTCATTTATTCATTCTACTTTAATCTACTCATTCACACAGACTACATGTTTATGTCATCCCAAAAGGTGGTTTCTCACTTTTTATTTCCTGAATCTAGAGGGTCGTATGCTGTACACATTGTAAAGATTTATGTTTTAGATTGTAAGGATAAATAAATAATCCTGACTCACACCTCACAGTGTTTTTTAGTAGTTTAGTGCAGTGCAGGCACTAAATGAACTGTATTCACTTTTGTATTGTTCTTTTTCTTTTTTATTACAGTCATATCTTGGATCACCTGCTGGTCAAGGTCTACACACAATATCAGTATTCAGGGACTCCTTTAATCCACCTGTGGTCACAATATTTGTCCGACTCTTATTTCCTGAATGCGAACAACAAGAAATAGATTAGAGGACTTTCAGATTCATGTTTAGTGAAACAAAAGACCTATTGTTGTCACTGAAGAGCTAGAGTTTATATTCCTTGTTGCCACCTAAACTGTATTCCTTGTATTTACAGCACTGGGACTGTGCTCAGGTTACATTTGTTTGTTTATAATATAACATGTTTATACTGTAATAATGCATTAATCTGGTTTAAAAGGGTGATTATTAATGACGTCTTAAAATGTTATAAAATGCGGTGACTAATTGAACACATTGGTGCTTTTAATAAATGGAAACGACACAAAAGAAGCGCCCTATCGTCAATGCAGAAATAAAATGTTAAAATATTTAGGTTTTCTTATGGACCTTATAAAAATTATGAACCGGAAAAAGGTAGGATAGTCTGACTTTTTTAAATAGAGAGTTTTTTTATTTGCTGTGATCTAAGAAATGTTGTCTTTCACATTCCAAGTATGGAGAAAAAGTAATTATGATTACAGAGCTGAAGCGGCCGTCTTCACATTAATACTGATAACTAAATTAATGTTGAACCTAATAACATAGTGCTTTACTATATAAAAAAAAGATGTAGAAAATTTAAAAAAATGCAAAACCCAAATATTCAATATACAATTAAATATGACAAAAAAAGTATTAAATGCAAAACCATTATTTTTGTTCACAAATTATTTCTTAATAACTTCATAACTACAGGGCGGCTGTGGCTCAGTGCTGAACTTCGAATCAGGGGGTATCAAGTTCGAGTCCCACTGCAGTCAGCATGTCGTTGTGTCCCTGAGACACCTCACCCCAAATTACTCCTGTGGGCGATTGTCCACAGTACTGAATGTATGGAAGTCGCTTTGGATAAAAGCGTCTAACAAGTAACATGTAATGTAATAAAGTAAGTGCTTTGATTTGGGTTTAATGTGTTCATTAACGTGTTTTATCATCTGCAGACACAAACAGATCTGACACTGTATTAAGGTTTTATTAATGTGAGCTTTGTTGTAGCACATTACAAGTTTCATTGAGGTTTAAAATACATGTTTTTTCAATTTTAAACTTATATTATCAGGTTGTGGAGAGGGTCTGTGGAGGGTTGGTTAACTAATAGTGCTGGGAACGGTACTTTGTTTGTACAAAATGAAACATAACTCTATCTCACCGCACCATTTATTTTCATAAAGTCCATTACCTCCAAGTCCACCAGTAAGAGCGGAGGTTCGGCTGTGTAAAACAATATTTAAAATTTAGTAAAATCTGTATGTACAAGTTGTAAGAATCATGTAAAAAAAAAAGTCTGTTTCCAAACTCTCTTTGTTTTTTAAAATCATTTAATCTTAAATGAGGTTATCTGCCATTCATCCAGCCCCCATGACCCCCTCTTACTGCTTCTTAGTGTGACGCACTTCTCACAAATTGGAAGTTGAGTTTTGCTGATTATATTTCTCTTTAAACTGAAAAGACACATGTAGACATGAACCAGCAGGCAGCAGGAAATTTAATCGGTGGACAGAATTAACAAGGGAGTTCCTCGTAACCCATAGTGAAACTGTAATGATAAAATGCATTAATACACCTCACAATAAGATTGATAGAAAGAATAAACCAGCTGAAAATAAGCACAGAATAAGCCATATTTGAGATCAATAAACCAGATGCTGATTACGCCTTTAAACATGAATTATTGTTCATATAATGAACCTCTTGTCACAGTGCTTAGATATGGTTATTTACCTAACTTAACATTCCAAATAGCTGATTCGACAACACACAGCCGAAGTGTAGGCATGATGATGTAACTAAGACAGCGGAGTTAAAACAATAAATCATGAAACAATCCTGTCTAAAAGCATTTTCCGAACATTTGTATTGACTGGAATGAAACATAAATGTCTTTCGTGATGCTACATGTGGCTGGACTTTGGGAAGTTATCATCAAAATCACATCACCGCTAGCAAAAGAAGACATTAATCAAAGCAGGAAATTACCCTAATTTTAAACTTGATCAAATAAATGTAAAAGACACTCAGAGAACATAATAATCAATTGTAAAAAAAAAAAGAATCTAGCTATGACAAAAGGACATATGGAACATGTTTTCTTATTCACTGGTACTGAATCAAAACATAATGTACATACTGTATGTGGAATGGCTTAATAAAGACACAACATCAAATGATTTATACATTGGATCTCTTAGTTTTGTCCTGGAGCGATAGTTGTGTTTTTCCTACACCGTTGATACTTATCAGTTCTGACATTTCCACCAGCTTTATAATGACGTGCTGTCGTAATTAATGTACATGGGGCAGGTGCAGCAGTCTGTATTGTCTTTGCAGTAAGAGAGAGAAAGAGACAGACGTGAGAAATAATACAGAGACATGTTCAAGCTTTAAATGGATTTGGTCAATGCTTGACTAATGCAATGGCACGATATTATAACACTATTCACAGGAAATATCACATGTCTGTAGAAACTGAAATTATAAGAGGAAGGAATATCTGAATCGACAGGCTGAACATCGTGGTACAAAGATTTGTCAGCGAAGTTGAGATACATATTTTTGCAAGGAAAGCGTGCAAGTTTGCCATGCTGCCAATGATAACGGGTTGATAATGACAATGTATCAGAATTAGGTAGAGAAATGTTTCAAAAGGTACATTTTCTAGTGATGTACAGAACCTTTTCCTAGTAACTCGACATAACTTAAACTCCTGATACTGGTGGACTGACAAACCTCTGTACGCCAGTTTCTTATAATCATCTGATTAACTCCCGCAAACTAATTTCCAATTAAAAATGTTCAGATTTCACAATATTTGTTCTCTACATGGCAGATAATGGGTGATGACAAACGGGCTGACAGAGTGTTCCTCCCTTTGCAACACATCATGATCACGCTATAATGTCTTTGGGAAATGACTGGTTGAACGTGGGTGGTACATTTACAAGTCAAAGTGACAGATTGTAGTCAGACATCTGTGATTGTTTATATATGATATGGCTGGGCTATATGAAGATAGTCAAATACCTTGATATTTTGGATCAAATATCTCAATATTGCAACAATATTTATATGGATATGACTAACTACAACAGTCTGGTTAGTTCAAATGTCATCAATGTACTGTAATGCGGCTTTAAAAACAGGAAGATACAATGTATGCCATATTCTGATATCCAAAATGTAAGTGATATAAAGTCTCATTCAACGATAATGTTATGATATCGATATATAGCCCAGCCCTTATATGGCATTAGCATTAGTCTACTTAAGTATTTGTGAACTATCGCCTTTGGTCTTTAGAGTGCCCATGCAGCCACCTTTCAGAAAGCTCTTGGAGACCGGATCAAATAAAGCAGACTTACTTTATTCATACCTAGAAGAACAAAAAACAAAAGCACAAAACAGGATCAGAACACTCATTTACAGTCTGCATTTATCCATATGGTAAACATCTGTGGCGATTTTAGACGTTATTTCATGACTCGCATTATATCACAACCTTGAGTATACAACACTCATAAGGGAAAGACTGAATGCATCAAACTTATATACTATATTATAATAATAGTGAGTAGTGCTTTTCTTTTTGTACAATTATGAAACAAATGCACAAGGGAGATATTGAGTGAGAGAGACAGAGAGGCAGAAAGTCAAAAAGAGATTAAAAGAGGAAAGAGAGGGAAGTGAAAGGTGAGTACGATCTACACCCCAAAGGTTAAACCCCCCTCCCCCCACCCTCAGTAACCCTGGTGACGTACTTTTCCAGGAATGTAGTTGCGGTCAATGCTTTCATCTTGCAGAAACATGTGCAGACAGCGCTCATTCTGGGCCAAGGGGTGACCTGCAATTCTACAGAAACAAACACAAAGATGGACAGTGGATAAAATTAACTTGTTTTAATAGTTTTTCATTGAGGCTTGTAAAAGAAAATTGTTTTTTGACTAGATTAGTTATTTGACGCACAGACAGAGATTAGGTTAAGTCTTGTGTGGGGCCATACATTTATGGCAATGACTGACTCGACTGACTCGATTGAATATGTGGTTTTCAGTTGAGAAAAACAACACTAAAAGAAAAAACTGCAGATTTGACACAAGCTTTACAAGATTTAATAAAGAATGTACTGTTCCTTTATCACCAAATAAAAATCCCAAATGTTGGAACTTAGCAGATAGTTTTTACTATGCAAACACATAAAAATATGTATTAAAATGTATGGCTGAACCTGTTGATGAACTGCTCTAGGCCCGATCGCCGCTCCTCAATGAAGACCTCGTCAAAAAGGCCCTCATCTGCGCGGAATGGCAACTGTCTCTTCAGGGCTTTGCCCGGCAGAGATGGTACTACAATCTGAAGGAGAACAAATAACAGGAAAGATCACATTCATGAAATCCAAAGTCCACACTCATGTGCTGAACAGTCAAAACTCAATACATTGGCATCAATACATTTAAGCTCCAGCAAGGCAATAAACTTATTTTGACTAGCAGTGCAAAGGCATAAACTAATTCAACGCATTTAATTAGGAGAACACCACAAAACCTACCTTGTCATTAAAACAGAAGACGAAACCTAAAGTGTTATGCTACTGTTTACTTTAATCTATGAAGTAATTACATTTTCCAAGCTGTAACACCAACAGTACCACTTATCAGATCATTTTAAATATTAGTTTGCTTAAGCCAGTCTGCTGAAATGATTAGTCTGAAACACAACATGATATAATTACTCACTTACCTTACTGTCTCTTTCCAGCTCGTTCTTTAACCACTCAAAGTCACTGTATCTTCTTCTAACAGTGGAATCCTTCAGTTTGAAAATGGGGAGGTTTGTCTACACAGAGAAAAATAAATATACAGCTCTAAATTAATTTCAAAAATAATTTTTTCAAAAACATGATCTTACTGAATGCTGAAGTCATTGTGGAGATGCCTTAAGGGGACAAAAAAATCACTCGATATAACCCTATTTTGACTAAACTAATGGTATGAAAGTCAACACTTAGACTAGTATGCAGAGGCGTTTATGTTATACCTCTACAGTAGCATCTACTGTTGTGTTGTTTGTACTGATTCTTTCCATTACACTGTAGTATAATGAGAGCTCTGACTATTTATTATACTGTAATACAGATTGTATTTTACCGAATGCATGTCATTTTCATAACTTTCCCAGATCCCAGTGTGTGGTCTTCAAACAACAGTCCAAGACCCAAAGATGTTCAGTTGTTAATCATTATATAAAGAAAGAGAAAAAGAGCCACTAATCTATTTCATGTTAGATTATGTTAGATTGTATTCTAAATTGTATTTGCCCTGAAATGATTAAACTTCTAAATGTAAAGTATTGTGTTAATTTTATTCACAATAATATTAGAAAGCCTGCCAAGCAAACCCGTTTCCCAGAACGCTCAAAAGTTTGGAGTTAGGTATAAAGGGAAATGTTGCATACAATAACCACCCATCTCTCCATGTTCCAGTGAGTAGAGATTAGGTGGCTTTTTTTTAGCATGATTCACTTCCTGTAGACAGGGAGTAAGTAACTAAACAATGCTTTCCAGTTAAACGAACATATCTGGTTAGTTTCCGTTTTTCTATGCAGCGTTTTGAAACAGCACTATTTGGATGAGCAATTTAACAAAAAAACATTAAACTAAGGAAACATCAGACTGCGTATTACGCCTGCATTAACCTACGAATCTTGGGATGAGAACATTCAAGTGGTGAAGAAAGTCACGTGTTTACATTATGATCTGCAAACTCTCCCAGGAGCAAACCCGCAAAATAAGGATTTGTAGTTATGCCAGACCTAGTACGTTACAATTACGCATTTGCAATGTTGTCACCAGCTTCCTTAAAAAACATTTTTTTTCTAAATGTATTTAACAGTGTCAGCTATTATCTTTTACAAGGCGCTCAACATTCCCATCTACTAGTAAAGGTTAAACTTCCCAATAGTATATAAAGTAATTCAAATAAACCACCAAATGCAAAATTGAAGCGATAAACACATTAATGTATCAATAATTATAAAATAAAAATAATGTGTCGTATTATTACTCAAGGTGTTACTTAAGTCTTATTTAAGAGTTGTTTTCCCTTACATTTCCTATTATTAATCCAAATGTGCAAAGAAACAAAATAGATGTAGTGGGGTGAAAGTACACGTTTGGCCTCTGAATTGTAAGGGGTAGAAGTATTAAGTGAATTCAAAAAGGCTCAGATAAAGTACCTACTAATTATACTTCAGTACAGTACTTGAGTGAAGGTAATTTATGTATGTCTACCACAGCTTTTTGACAGTAGCATAAGTAGCTGTTAGCTTCATGCTGTCTGCTGGGACTCACACTGTCGTAATAACCACATTACGTTTCAGTACGTAACGTTTACTAGCCACACACAGTTGGTTAAAATACATACAAATATGACGTTAACAGTCAGTGTGCGGGCTTAAACATTGCTGCTTTAAATATGTACGCCGAAAGTCGTAGTTATGTTGAGGAAACTTCTAGATCCCAGCCCTGCTGACTACACAAAGTAGGCCACACAAAATCCCCGGTGCTTGAGTTTTACTGGAGCGCCATCTTGACCTACTCCAGGCTGCTACCGTCAACGTCACAACCCGGTCCCTGCGGTTGACTCCAGCACAGCGGCTAAATACGCTAACTGGCTAGCAACAACATAGTAATTACCAGTTAGCTTAGCAAATAAAAGCTAATGCTGCTAAAAGGGTGTTTTTTTTCTTCTGATTTTTTCAACACCTACCCGCATGCGAACTTCGTAATTTGTGTAACGGTTACGTCCAACTCCGACGACTTGTGGATCATAAACGTCTATTTCCAGAAAATTGCTGGGGGGGCCGTAAGCATCCGTCAGGTCCTGGGGCTTGGAATTCAACCGGCGAGTGTCGGCCACCGAAGGGTCTGTCATTTTGTCGGGTTGTAGTTTTTGGACGACAAACGGCGGATCAAACCAACTAAATGCTCAGCAAAATCTTAAATCTCCTACGAAGACATCAATTGATAACACGTTAGCTGATCGATTCAGCTAGGGAAGTAGCTGACTTGTGTCTCTGTCTTGTTGCGGGGGCCAGCCGCCCTGCGCCCTACCCTTGTTGAATCTGAAAAATGCGTTGACTCAGTTCCGTAGCGTTACTGTGGTACACTGCACTCCCTCTAATGGACACAGAGATAACTGGACAGGCTCAGGTTTCTCTAATCATTGCAGTTGGGAAATTAATGTCACAGTTCCTCAGACGTAAGGCATTTCTATTTATTAATTATTAAATCAGGTTATGACAGAAAGGACTAAAATACAATCAGGTTACAGCATGTCAAACCACATTGAAAAAGTCCAATCAAAGAGCTATTAAGATTGGAAACATTTTAGGAATATAAGTATAACACACACATGATAATACAAGAAACATATTTTAAGGGGCTGTGGCACCCCCCACCCTGATTTTGGGTAGGCCTTTCATGCATGCACCCATCACCATGTAGAGTGGTGTAAAGTCAATGAGTAGATTTACTCAAGTAGCCTACTGTATTTGTACAATTCTGAGGGACTAGTAGGCTACTTTACTTAAGCATTTCATTTACTTGTTACTTTGTACCCCGCTACAATTCACAGGTAAAAAGTGTACTTCCACTCCATTACATGTATTTAATTCCTTTAGTTGCTTTGCAGATTTTGATTTGTGGAGTGTCAATCAACACTCTTGTACTTAAGTACAATAATTGGTCCACATATTCATTTTATTTTAAACCGAGCTTTGCTCCAAATGTATTTGTATGGCTGTGTACCAAAGAGGGACATACATATCTAAGTTAATTGAGGTTTGGATTACATGATGATTCAAGCAATTAGGATTTATTATTACTCATATTTATGCAACACTATACATGTACATTTACAAAAGGTTATATGTAAGAAAAATCTACACATATCAATACTAATCAAAGCCATTTTGCTTAACTTGATTAAGGCGAACGATGAAAACTTAAGAAATAATATCTGACAGAAGCAAAAATAAAGAAGCCATTGATTACGCTTTTTTTTATCACAATGTAAGTGCCCTGATGATGATGCTGATATACAATCTCATTCAGTAATTGTATTGGGTCCTTTCCTTCTGCTTCATTGAGGTTACATTCATTATGTCATTTTAAGCTGGGGTTTTGGATTGATGACATGATGAAACTCATTTCTGTTCGAATTATAACGTTTTAAGAAACCCAACCCTGACTGACATGCCTCCTAAACAGAAACCTGCTTCTCCTCCTCAGGTGAGACTGTGGAGGTGGAAGAGGAACAGGAAGTAGGCAGGTCAGATTCGTTCACAGGGATGGAGACGGAGCAGTCGGTTTGGTCGGTGGTGCCGGAGCAGGTGGAGCAGTCAGAGCTCTCGCTGTCAGACTCAGGGACATGGCAGTACTCACGGACAGGACAGGGACGCTCATTGTCCTTAAAACTCTCTTTCAGGCCCTTGGGGAACTGAAACCAATCCTTTAAACAAAACAAAAAAAACGTGTATGACTTTATTTTGCTGTCATCTTGTACATTTCCTTCAAACAAGGCAGTATTTTGAGTTATTTCCAGCTGAATGAAAAAAATGTGGTTTCAATACAAATCATTTTTTGGTAGCATTAGAGTTTTTGATGCTACTAACCTCGACATTAGGAGGTAAGGATGGCTTGGGGACCACAGGGATCAAGATGATTCTGATTCTGTATGGAAGGGAGGCACATGTTCATCAGATGATCATATCAACTACAGCTAGTCAACATCACACATACATTGAAAGTACATTACATTACCAAATGTGAATTTCATTGCTATCGCCACTTTCATCTACTGTTGCTTTAAAACTAGAAAAATATAATTTTTTTCAAGATCATCAAGTTATCCTCCCATGTTGCCTTTTATCTGAGATATAGAGTGAAAGTGGGCGACAGAGAGGAGGACATTGACTGTAATGTTTGGCCAGCGCGGCTTAACAGGGCCGCCAGATCTTACCACTGAGCTGTCAACCGGCCCTATCTTCACACATTTTAGGTCACCGGGTGAGTTGTTGATATACAAATGCTAAGCCCAAGTATTCCGTAAAACAATTCAAATTTTAAATACTCACATTAGATAACAGTTCGTGTACATATTGTTGATGATAATATAACAATGAATGAAGGAGGAAATATGTACCCATTGCTGAAACTATATGTAAAACACTATAAATAACACATGACCGACCTTTCATGGTGTAACAAAATCATGACCAGTAGGATGAGGATGAAAGCACCCAACCCACACAGCACTGGAGTCAACACAGACATCGAGCTGTTCATGTGAGGAGTGTCTGTGAGTTTGAGAAAGACAGGGGAAGTTTGTTGCAGATAGTAGAAATCTTCTTTGATGTTTAATCACGTGTGATATGGTGAAAATTACACATGATTAGGAGTTTGCTCTGTCAGTTTACCCTGTACTGATTTGAAGGGAATAAGTCAGGTTTGTATTGCCCTATTGCCTACACTGGCCATCTTATATTGTAAATGTGATGGTTTTAATGGCCTAGAATATCTATTACTGGCCCCTCAACTATAGCTCTGGCTTTGAAAACAAATTTCCCAACCTAGGAAAAGCATGTTAAAAAGAAGGGTCTATAATCACTACAAATGATTGTAAATACAACATGTCAGTATTCATGAAAAATATGTTTATTCCTGTCATGCCCAGTATTCAGAATATTCTAAATGTTTATATTTGATAAGAAATAAATCAAATCAAATACAAATCAGGTGAAAGCTTGGGTTTTTTTTTTTTTTTGCTAAAAGGTTCTGTGCTTAAGACAGTTTATGGTTACCAGTAGCAGTGAATGATTCTTTCATTCTTTCAGTAAGTGAAAGTAACTGTAAGTGACTGGAAATAGGTCTAGACATTTGCAGTTTACCCGTGTTTCACTTACTGAAAGAATGAAAGAATCATTCACTGCTACTGGTAACCATNTGTGTGCCTTTGGCAGTCTCAGACGGGTAAACTGCAAATGTCTAGACCTTATTTCCAGTACTCACTTACAGTTACTTTCACTTACTGAAAGAATGAAAGAATCATTCACTGCTACTGGTAACCATAAACTGTCTTAAGCACAGAACCTTTTAGTAATTTTTGAATATTCTGAATACTGGGCATGACAGGAATAAACATATTTTTCATGAATACTGACATGTTGTATTTACAATCATTTGTAGTGATTATAGAGCCTTCTTTTTAACATGCTTTTCCTAGGTTAGGAAATTTGTTTTCAAAGCCAGAGCTATAGTTGAGGGGCCAGTAATAGATATTCTAGGCCATTAAAACCATCACATTTACAATATAAGATGGCCAGTGTAGGCAATAGGGCAATACAAACCTGACTTATTCCCTTCAAATCAGTACAGGGTAAACTGACAGAGCAAACTCCTAATCATGTGTAATTTTCACCATATCACACGTGATTAAACGTCAAAGAAGATTTCTACTATCTGCAGCTGTTGCTCTGCATGTGAACAACACAGTAAAGGTGCAGTATAATGAAACAAACTTCCCCTGTCTTTCTCAAACTCACAGACACTCCTCACATGAACAGCTCGATGTCTGTGTTGACTCCAGTGCTGTATGGGTTGGGTGCTTTCATCCTCATCCTACTGGTCATGATTTTGTTACACCATGAAAGGTCGGTCATGTGTTATTTATAGTGTTTTACATATAGT